CTCAAAAAAAAAAAAAAAAAAAAGATAAAATAATGAACATTCGTATGATGTTCCAGTGAACTGCGGTGCGTGGGCTGCCCCTCTAAATCCCAAGAGACAGGCACCCTCATTTTTCATCTTCATTTTTAAGCTGAGAAACTAAGGCAAGTTGCTCAAAATTAACAGCCAAGGAAGTTGATTCTGATGCCTAAAGTTTTACCAAATCTAAGATTTGCCGTACCTGGGAGTCCTCCTGGTCTGAAGACCAGACTGTCTGAGTTCCTGTCATTACAGGGCTGCAGAGGAAAACAGAAATCATCGTAACACAAAAACTGTTACTTCACGGGTCTCCACTCACACACCCCTCCCAGCAAAGCTCCAGAATCTTTCCTGTTGAGAGGATGGGAGAGCATGTCGTGAGGTTGTGGAAGTACAAAGCACATCAGTTGCAAAGCCAAACTGTCTATCTCCCAAGAGGCGTAAGGTTTCAGGAATCTAGACCAGGCACGGTGGCTCACACCTGTAATTCCAGCACTTTGGGAGGCCGAGGTGGGCGGATCACCTGAGGTCAGGAGTTCGAGACCAGCCTGACCAACATAGAGAGACTCCATCTCTATTAAAAATACAAACATTAGCCAGGGGAGGTGGCGCGCACCTGTAATCCCAGCTACTGGGGAGGCTGAGGCAGGAGAATAGCTTGAACCCGGTGAGTGGAGGTTGCAGTGAGCCAAGATCATGCCACTGCACTCCAGCTTGGAGACACAGCAAAATTCTGTCTCAAAAAAAAAAAAAAAAAAAAAGGGAGAGAGAGAGAGAGAGACTCGTGGGGAAATTGAGGATATCCTTGCCTGTTTTTATAAATTCAATCCTCTTCATCCTGGAGCTCAGAAAATCACACACAACGGGAAGGATAACGTGTCTAGCGATCATACAATTTGTCGGAAAAATTATAATCCTACCAAATTGGCACTTGACTAATTCTTTACTGGTTCTACAAATGAACACACCATGGCATTTATCACCTACAAGTTATTGAATATAAGACAAATTTAAGATACTTTGCTTTTTTTTCATTTTTCAAAATAACTCCTCCAACTCTTTGCCCCACAATTGGCACCATCACTGTGACATTCCCATTTTACATTTGAGGGAGGCTTTCTTTCCAGTTCAGTTACCCTTGGGTACTGGAGAACAGTCAATGGCATGCAATGAGGTCTTCTTCCATTCTTCTAGATATATAAATTCTGCCCAGGCATCCATTCGAGCTGCCAGAAAGTCCCTGGACCACCACCTCAGCCTAGGACAACCTTCCACCTCTCATTTCTTTCCTACTGTCTTTATCTTGGATCTAGACCCAAACCAACCAACCAATCCCTCACATATGTGCTTAACAGTGTCATCAAAAACAACATCCAGGCCAGGTGCAATGGCTCACATCTATAATCTCAGAACTTTGGGAGGCTGAGGCGGGCGGATCACCTGAGGTCAGGAGATCGAGACCAGCCCGGCCAACATGGCGAAACCCTGTCTCTACTAAAAATACAAAAATTAGCTGGGAGTGGTGGCAGGTGCTTGTAATCCTAGCTACTCATGAGGCTGAGGCAGGAGAATCGCTTAAATCCGGGAGGTGGAGGTTGCAGTGAGCTGAGATCACGTCACTGCACTCCAGCCTGGATGACAAGAGTGAGGCTCCGTCTCAAAAAACAACAACAAACCCAGCATCCATGTTGTTCTTCAACATCCCTTTTATAAAGGTGATAAGTTTATTTCAGAGGGTTTTCTTTCAGGGGGCAGGATCAGATTTCTTGTATCTATTTGCCTACAGAGAGGGAGAATGAAGAAACAGGTGAATAAAAGCTAGTGAACCTTTGAAGATTTCAGATGGCAAAGCAATCCACTGGCAATTTGCTTGTGGGGTATGTGTGGGTGGATGTGTGTTTAAATTTAGAGCCGACAGAAACTTAGACTTTCCTGGGAAGTTGATATGCTTCCTGTTTTTTGAGTATTAGAACCATGAAACTCATCATCTCTCCTTTTGTGTACTGGCTGCAAGAATGCTCAAAAATGAATTTCCCCTTGATTGATGCCTATTTTGATCATTTTCTGTATGCATGCCTTTTATTTTAGGCATCCAGAAATCATCATTGGAAGGAGCGTGCTTCATTTGACTTGACTTGGATTGGATACGAAGTCATCCAACGATGAGAAGAGGGAGTCAAGATCCTCCTAGGGGCTTCGCTGGTGTAAATGTCAGAGGTGTTTGAACCAGAGCAACTCTATCTTCAGTAGGGGCTGGGTAAAATGAGGCCGAGATCTGCTGGGCTGCATTCCCAGACAGTTAAGGCATTCTATGTCACAGGATGAGATAGGAGGTCGGCACAAGCTACAGGTCATAAAGAGCTTGCTGATAAAACAGTTTGCAGTAAAGAAGCCGGCCAAAACCCACCAAAACCAACATGGCCATGAGTGTGACCTCTGGTCGTCCTGGCTGCTACACTCCCACCAGCGCCATGACAGTTTACAAATGCCATAGCAACACCAGGACATTACCATAAAGGGTTTAAAAAGGGGAGGCACTGCCGGAGATCCAGCCACTGTACTGCAGCCTGGCGACAGAGCGAGACTCCGTCTCAAAAAAAAGGGGGGGGGGAGGCACGAATAATCCACCCCTTGTTTAGCATATCATCAAGAAATAACCACAAAAATGGGCAACCCACGGCCCTTGGGGCTGCCCTGCCTATGGAGTAGCCATTCTTTATTCCATTACCATTGGAGGGTGTCCAGGTTCTTGGCATCTTGAACAAAGAATTGGGCAAAATGCACAAAGTGACCAGGCGCGGTGACTCACACCTGTAATCCCAGCACTTTGGGAGGCTGAGGCGGGCGGATCACCTGAGGTCAGGAGTTCAAGACCAGCCTGGCCAACATGGCAAAACCCCATCTCTACTAAAAATACAAAAGTTAGCCGGGCATGGTGACGCACATCTGTTATCTCAGCTACTCAGGAGGCTGAGGCAGGAGAATTGCTTGAACCTGGGAGGCAGAGGTTGCAGTGAGCCAAGATGGCACCACTGCACTGCAGCCTGGACAACAGAGCGAGACTCCCGAAGCTCCATCTCAAAAAAAGAAAAAAAAAATGCACAAAGCAAGAAAAGAATGAAGCAACAAAAGCAGAGGTTTTTTTTTGTTTTGTTTTGTTTTGTTTGTTTGTTTTTTCTGAGAGGGAGTCTCACTCTGTCGCCCAGGCTGGAGTGCAGTGGCCGGATCTCAGCTCACTGCAAGCTCCGCCTCCCGGGTTTACGCCATTCTCCTGCCTCAGCCTCCCCAGTAGCTGGGACTACAGGCACCCGCCACCTCGCCCGGCTAGTTTTTTATATTTTTTAGTAGAGACGGGGTTTCACTGTGTTAGCCAGGATGGTCTCGATCTCCTGACCTCATGATCTGCCCGTCTCGGCCTCCCAAAGTGCTGGGATTACAGGCTTGAGCCACCGCGCCCGGCCAAAAGCAGAGATTTTTTGAAAACGAAAGCACATCTCATAGTGTGGGGGAGGCCCAAGTATGGCGGCTCAGGCGCCCTGTTACAGAACTTGCAGGGGTTTAAATACCCTCTAGGGGTTTCTACTGGTTACTTGGTGTACGCCCTATGTAAATGAAGAGGATGGAGTAAAGTTACAAAATCATTTACTCCGTGTACACCCTATGGAGGGGACATTTCCTGTCACGGCTGAAGTGTTCCCTGCCTCCAGACCCTATTTTTCTGCCTCAATTCCTTTATTTTTCTAATAAACTTGCTTTCACTTTATGGACTCACCCAGAATTCTCTCTTGGGGTTTGGATCAGGACCCCTTTCGGGTAATACAGACAGAAAATACGGCCTTGACACGGCTGTCAGGAAACGACAGAAAGGCCTCTGACGCTGGGGTTCTGAAGGGGTGTTAACCCCCGCCAGGAAGGCTCTGGAGGCTCCAATCACTTTCAGCCTCTGCTAAAGATGCCCGATCCTGCCAACAAAACTTCCAGCAGCCCGATGTGGTGGCTCATACCTGTAATCCCAGCACTTTGGGAGGCCAAGGAGGGCGGATCACCTGAGGTCAGGAGTTCAAGGCCAACCTGACCAACATGGTGAAACCCCATCTCTACTAAAAATAAAGATAAAAAAAATTAGCCAGGCCTGGTGGCGCATGCCTGTAATCCCAGCTACACAGGAGGCTGAGGCAGGAGAATTGCTTGAACCCAGAAGGCGGAGGTGCAGTGAACCGAGATTGGGCCACCTCACTCCAGCCTGGGTGACACAGCAAGACTCCGTCTCAAACAAAACAAAAATCCTTCCAGCCTGGAGAAACTGAGGCTGGGCAGTAGGGAGTGAGGAGGGTCCCTGGGAGGAACCAGAACTCATCCTGCTTCAGGATGGAGCTGGCCCCCTTCTTGGCCTTTGCCAGGGCTTCGTGTCACGGAGCGACCAAGGCATGGGGTTCGAAGCCAACCCCAGCCCGCCAGCTGCCTGAGCCTGGCCAAGCTCTCTGCACCTGCACACGTCTGTAAAACGCGGATGAAACGCTTCTACTAAACCCGGTGGCTGAGATGAAATGAGTTATGTGTATAAAGCGCTTAGAACGATGCCTGGCGCACACTCGGTGCCAAATAAGCGTTCGCTGTGGTGACGATGTTGACTCCAGCCCAAAGCCCGTGGTCAGCAGGGCCGGGCTCGCAGCGCCAGGGGGTTCCTAGGCGCTGCGCTTCGGGGGTCCTGGACACAGACAGCGGGGGCAGAGCTCCCACCATCGAGGATCCCGAGGGTCTGCAGCAGAGGGGCTGAGGCCCGGGACGGGGGCGGTCGCAGCGCCCTTTCCTGAAAAAAAGGCGTCGGGCTCTAAGGCGCCCTCAAGCCCTCCCGGCAGCGCGGAACCCGAAGCGCTCAGAAGCCCGGGAGCCCCAAGTCTGGGGGACCAGAAGCGCCGCTGCCCTGACTTCCGGAAGGTGGACGGAACCTGCGAACAGGGCGGGCCCGCGTGGCGAACGCAGAGCCACTTCCGGGCGCGTCGCCGGCTTGGTGAGCGCGGATACCGGCTGTCCCTCTCGGGCGATTGCGTCCCCCGTAGTCCGGCCGGCCTCGGCACCGCGTGTCGTGGGGGGCCCGGGCCCGCGGCTGCAGGGTCGGGGCAGCGGCGAGGCCGAGGGCCGGGAAGCCACTGCCTGGCCTGGCAATGTGAACGTGCAAGTCGATCCCCTAACCCAGAAAGCCCCAGGCGCAGTCTATACGGGCGGCCCCGCTCCTGCTTATGTTTTAGTTTTCAGGGACGGGGCATCGCTCTGCCGCCCGGGCTGGAGTGCAGTGGTGTGATCACGGCTCACTGCAGCCTCGACCTCCCGGGCTGAAGCGATCCTCCCGCCTTAGCCTCCTGAGTAACTGGGACCATAGGCGCACCCAGCTGATTTTTAATTTTTTTTTTTTTTTGATAGAGATGGGGGTCTCGCCGTGTTGGCCAGGCTGGTCTCGCACTCTTGGCCTCAAGTGATCCTCCTGTCTCGGCCTCCCGAAGTGCTGGGATGACAGGCATGAGCCACCGCGCCTGGACCCTTCTTTTGAATGGACTTCCTTGCGTTTCTGTTTCAATGCCTGGTGCTACTTTTTTGGGAACCCCAAGGCTGTACTGTTTGATTGACTCCTTTTTTCCCCCTTTCTTTTTAACCTAAATCAAAGCTGCCACTGCCCCGCCATGGAAGACACGCCGTTGGTGATATCAAAACAGAAGACGGAGGTGGTGTGCGGGGTCCCCACCCAAGTGGTGTGCACGGCCTTCAGCAGTCACATCCTGGTGGTGGTGACTCAGTTCGGGAAGATGGGTACCTTGGTCTCCCTGGAGCCCAGCAGCGTGGCCAGTGACGTCAGCAAGCCTGTGCTCACCACGAAAGTCCTTCTGGGGCAGGATGAGGTAAAGTGGATTGGCCGGGAACTGTGGCTCACGCCTCTAACCCTAGCACTTTCCGAGGCCTGGGCAGGCAGATCGCTTGAGGCCAGGAGTTTGAGACCAGCCTGGGCAACACAACACACACACGTCTTCACAAAATCACAAGTGCCTACAAAAAATATATAGCGAGAGAGAGGCTGGGTGCAGTGGCTCACACCTGTAATCCTAGCACTTTGGGAGTCTGAGGTGAGCAGATCACTTGAGGTCAGGAGTTCCAGACCAGCCTGGCCAACATGGCTAAACCCCATTTCTACTAAAGATATAAAAACTAGCTGGGTGTGGTGGCACATGCCTGTAATCTGAGCTACTTAGGAGGCTGAGGCACAAGAATCGCCTGAACCTGAGAGGCGGGGATTGCAGTGAGCCAAGATCGCGCCACAGCACTCCAGCCTGGGTAACAGATAGAGACTCTGCCTCAAAAAAAAAAAAAAGAAAGAAAGAAAAAAATAGCTGGGCCTGATGGTATGTGCCTGTGGTCCCAGCTACTTGGGAGGCTAAGGTGGGAGGATCACTTGAGCCCTGGAGGTTGAGGCTGCAGTGAGCTATGATTGTGCCACTGCACTCCAGCCTGGGTGAGAGAGCAAGACTCTGTCTCTAATAATAATAATAATAATAATAAAGTGGTCAGGAAGGGACCCCCAGGGAGGAAGATGAACCTCTTCAGTGGCTGTGATTTGTCGGTAAGGACATGGGGCATCTGGGGGACAAATCTCCCTACAGCGATAGCATTTTCCAGGCATTTGTGGGTCTCAAGGCACCCTGCTTGCCCTGGTGGATGCTTTTGTCCAGCCCGCAGGCGTTTTATCCAGCAGACAAGCAGAAGTAGCAATTTTGTCATTCGAGCCGCCTCCCCTCGCATGGTACATTACATGAGCGGGCCGCTGGCTGTGCTCTCCTCTGCAGAAATCACATGTGAGATTCGACAGCACTCACCTCTGCAGGCTTGTCTTTCCTGGGTTCTTTTGGATGAGAGACAGCCAGAAGAGGCGGGGCTGCGAAAGACGCTGGGAAAATGAATGGAGTGATGCGTCTTTAGCAATGTGCTCATGACTGGAGTGTTCTGAGTGCTGCCTGAACGCTGAGTCACGGTTGCATGGACTTACGTGGTGGTGAATGGTGGTGTGGGAAGCCTGCCTGGGTTCCTAAGGGATACGTCATGAAAACATTGAGGAAAAAACCAGGTTTCTTGCAGTTAAAATGGTTTCTTCTCCTTCCTTTCACCAGCCTCTCATCCATGTCTTTGCAAAGAACCTGGTAGCATTTGTGTCTCAAGAAGCTGGAAACAGAGCAGTCCTCCTTGCCGTGGCCGTGAAGGACAAAAACATGGAGGGTCTGAAGGCGCTGAGGGAGGTGATCCGGGTGTGCCAGGTGTGGTGACCTGGAGGCAGCTGCCCCGCACTGCTCAGCAGGACACGTGAGGACCCAGACACCCACTCAGGGACTCAAGTCTCGCCTCCCTCCCCGGTGGAGGGAGGAACTTTGTCTGGCACTAGCCCTTGGAGCCAGGAAAAAATATTCGTGTCTCAGGCAGACTCTTACTCTGGTTACTAAGATCATCTGTGCATGACGGGGAGGGTGGAACGGGTGCCAGGGGAGTTGTGAATGGATCTCACTGGGACCTGAAACGTGCTTGTGTTTGAGAATTGGAGGAATGAGTCAGCAGGCGTGGCTCATGGCCCCCCGTGTACGGGATCAATTGTGGGAGGAAATTTCTTTTTTATTAAAAGCAAATGTGTATCCCAAAATACTTCACCATCGTCCCTAACAGTAGCGAGGCATTGCAGTCGCACAGCATTAGTTCAGTTTCACGGGCTTCATGTGGAATGGGGGCTTGTTGGGCAGAAACGCAGAGAGACGTAGTTCCTAGAGACTAGGTGGATCCCAGACTTGGGCCTGTGCATGCTGTCACGCAGCTCCTCCTCCCGTGACTTCTCTGAGCCTGCTGGGAAACTGGTGGCCATCAGCGGACATCTCTTACTATCTTACTGTGTGTGCCCGTTACTGTGCTGCAGCTGGGGACAGACGCTGGCCTCTGAATCCTGAATAGCAAGGGAGGGGGGACGCTTCTGTCAAGGGATCACTGTGTGCAGAGGTCAGGAGGGAGGAGCACGGCAGGACAGGGCAGGGCACGGAGGGGTGGGTGGCCAGAGTTCACTGGTAGGCAGCTGGGGTGTGGCTGAACATGACCTCCGTGTAGGGGTAGGCGGGAGTCCTTCTGTGCTGAGGCCCAGGACTTAGTCTTGCGGGGAGCAGTGTTGGCCGATGTTGGCCTCAGGGTGGCTTTTACACCTCTGACAAGTGGCAGCCTGGGCCCCGCCTGGCTCTCCCTCCAGCCACTCCGAGGGAAGCTTCACTGATCGTGCCCGAGTTGGAATTTCTGAAGCTGGAAGTCGGAGCTTTGACCCGCGTGACTTTGACAGTCTCGCAAGAAACAGCGGCAACTGGAGAGTTGGGTTGGGTGACAGGATCCCAAAACAGAAACCAGGAAGGCTCTGGAGCGGAGTGAGCGCCCGGCGGGCCCTTCCAGGGAACTGGGGGTTTCCTGCCTTAGGTACCTGTAAAGAAACACCTCGGGGGCATGGGGTGTTTGTGGAATTAGAAAGAAATATTCCCTTTTTTAAAAAATACAGACTGGTCTCACTGTGTTGCCCAGGCTTATCTCAGAACTCCTGGCCTCAGGTGATCCTGCCACCTCAGCCTCCCAAAGTGCTGGGATCACAGGCCTGCATCCTGCTTATTTCTTTCCTTTTTCTTCTTTTTTTTTTCTCTTTTTTTGGGACAGTCTCGTTCTGTTACCCAGGCTGGAGTGCAGTGGTGCAGTCTCGGCCCACTGCAACCTCTGCCTCCCAGGTTCAAATGAGACTCAGCCTCCTGAATGGGTGGGACTACAGGCGTGTACCACCACGTTTGGCTAATTTTTTGTATTTTTTAGTAGAGACGGGGTTTCACCATATTGTTCAGGCTGGTCTTAAACTCCTGACCTCAAATGATCCGCCTGCCTCGGTCTCCCAAAGTGCTGGGATTACAGGTGTGAGCCAGTGCACCCAGCCTAACCCCTAGTCATTTCTAATAGCTTCTGAAGTTCTGCAATTTTCTTTTTCTTTCTTTTTTTTCTTGAGATAGGGTCTCACTCTGTCGCCCAGGCTGGAGCACAGTGGTGCAATCTCAGCTCACTGCAGCCTTGACTCCCAGGTTCAAGCAATCCTCCCGTGCTCAGCCAAGCCACCTGAGTAGCCAGGGCTATAGGTGCTTGCCTCAGGCCTGGAGCGCCTAAGTTTTGTATTTTTAGTAGAGATGGAGTCTCACTATGTTGCCCAGGCAGGTCTTGAACTCCTGAACTCAAGCAATCCTCCCACCTCAGCTTCCCAAAGTGCTGGGATTCCGGGCATGAGCCACCGCACCCGGCCAGTTTTCTCAATATCAGAAACCCTTGAGGACAGGCAATGGGAGGGGCCATTTCAGATGCTGGTCCGATTTCAAAGGAGTTTGGAAGGTGAGTTTGCTGAAGATGGGACAGAAGGAAACTGGCTCTTTGAGGGCTCACTCCTTCAGCAAACTGAGGACCTGCTGAGCACCCAGTGCCTGCTGGGTCACCCACAGCCGTTATCCCTGCCCCCACGGGTTCACAGCCCTGGTGCCTGCCGGGTCACCCACAGCCGTTGTCCCTGCCCCCACGGGTTCACAGCCCTGGTGCCTGCTGGGTCACCCACAGCCGTTGTCCCTGCCCCACGGGTTCACAGCCCTGGTGCCTGCCGGGTCACCCACAGCCGTTGTCCCTGCCCCTACGGGTTCACAGCCCTGGTGCCTGCCGGGTCACCCACAGCCGTTGTCCCTGCCCCACGGGTTCACAGCCCTGGTACCTGCTGGGTCACCCACAGCCGTTGTCCCTGCCCCCACGGGTTCACAGCCCTGGTGCCTGCTGGGTCACCCACAGCCGTTGTCCCTGCCCCACGGGTTCACAGCCCAGTCGGCTGTCAGGCAATGTTAGCATGAGAAGAAGAGAGCAGGGGAGTCCCACGTGGGGGGCCTGCCAGACTTCCTGGAGGAAGCACTGATGCTTGAGGGCACCTTGCAGAGGCCTGCTGCCCCCACCAGTGTCTGTGTGCAGCGGGGACCTCAGGGGATACTGAGGCAAACACATCCCTGGCAGATAGGACTCCCGGCCCAGGGCTTCCACCCAGCCTCCCTCGGGCAGGCTGGCATCGAGGTCTGCCAGCCCCTCATGAAGTCCTATGTTGAATCCCATTTGGTGTCTTCCTCTTGGGAGATCTGAGCCCACAATTTTTTTTTTTTTTTTTTTTTTTTTTGAGACAGAGTCTCGCTCTGTCGCCCAGGCTGGAGTGCAGTGGCGCAATCTCGGCTCACTGCAAGCTCCGCCTCCCGGGTTCACGCCATTCTCCTGCCTCAGCCTCCTGAGTAGCTGGGACTACAGGCGCCCGCCACCGCGCCCGGCTAATTTTTTGTATTTTTAGTAGAAACGGGGTTTCACCGTGGTCTCGATCTCCTGACCTTGTGATCCGCCCGCCTCGGCCTCCCAAAGTGCTGGGATTACAGGCGTGAGCCACCGCTCCCGGCTGAGCCCACAATTTTAAGGGCCATGAAGGAGTCGATGGAAGGAAAAGGGAAGGACCGTCCGCACAGGAGCGAGGCCCCAGCGGGTAGCACGTGTCAGGACAGCTGCAGGATCTCCGCCAGAGAAAGGGGATCTGTCAGGGGGCGGCTCGTCAAGGGTCAGCCTTGAACCAGGGGCCAGGCGTGACGTCAGCAGATTAATATCTTAGAGCAGGTGCCCGGGCAGAAGCTTCGCCGTTCGGTATTAGCCCGTAATTACTCACGCTTGTCTAAAAGTCAGGTGTTTTTGCTGGGTGTGGTGGCTCATGCCGGGAATCCCAGCTGCTCGGGAGGCTGAGACAGGGAGGATGACTTGAGCCTGGGAGTTTGAGCCCAGCCTGGGCAACAAGCAAGACCCCATCTAAATACATACATGCCTGTCTAAATACACGCCTGTCTCTACAAATGAAAACCAGACAGTTTTGTTGAAGAGCCACAGCTTCGCTCATTTAACCAGTGGGGACATGGCGTGGACGGGGCTCCGCTGTGAGTCCGGATGCAGCTCAGCGGCTTGTGCTTCCTGACCTGTCCTTTAGCGATAACAGTGGACCCTGCTCACTGGCTGTGGGATTGCCCTTCCCAGCGGGGCTGCCCTTTCAATTCTCACCCTGTGAGTGGCCCCCCACGTTTTCCATACACAGAAGCAGGCCGCACCCCAGAGAGTGGGGAAGCTAGAATCGCCCTGCAGGGTGCCCTGGAGGCCATGTCTCCCAGTCAGGAGTCCCCATGGTTCTCCTTCATGGCTTCCTTTTTTTTGAGACAGAGTCTCCCTCTGTCACCCAGGCTGGACGTGATCTCGGCTCACTACAACCTCTGCTTCCTAGGCTCAAGTGAGCCTTCTGCCTCGGTCTCCTGAGTAGCTGGGATTACAGGCTCCCACCACCACACCTGGCTAATTTTCATATTTTTAGTAGAAATGGGGTTTCATCATGTTGTTCAGGTTGGTCTCAAACTCCTGACCTCAGGTGACCTGCCCGCCTCGGCCTCCCAAAGTGCTGGGATTATAGGCGTGAGCCACTGCGCCCGGCCATAGCTTCCTTTTCTTTCATGCCACAACTGCGCCAGGGAAATGGTTCTTGCCAAGGCCAAGGTCGGCTTTGCCTCCATGGCTGCTGGTCTGGTGCGGCACTCTGTTTTCGGGAGAGCGTTGGCTCCTGAGAGCCAAGCCTGGGAGGCCTGTCCTGTCTAAATGGGCCCTCACGACTGCCCTTCAAAGGTAGGCCATGGAGACTGGACGCTGTGGCTCGCGCCTGTAATCCCAACACTTTGGGAGGCTGAGGCAGGCAGATTACCTGAGGTCCAAGTTCGAGACCAGCCTGGCCAACATGACGAAACCCCATCTCTACTAAAACTACAAAAAGTTAGCCAGGCGTGGAGGCGGGAGCCTGTAATCCCAGCACTTTGGAAGTCTGAGGCAGGCAGATTGCTTGAGCCCAGGAGTTCGAGACCAGCCTCGGCAACATGGGGAAACCCCGTCTCTATCTCTAAAAAGGCATATAAAGAAAAAAAATAATTTCATTAAAAAAGATAAAGGTAGGCTGTGGAGAAACAAAGGCTAAGGAGGTCAGGCAGGTTGCCTGGAGGCTCCTGGGATGTCCACACAGCTCTGCCCCATGTCATGTGCAGGGCCCCACAGCCGCCTGCCTTGAAGGCGGTGTGAAATGGGCATGTCATTGAGAGTGGCCCCCAGTGCCCTCCCGAGGTCCTTCACAGCCACCTGGCAGCCGGTAACAACGCAGACTGAGGCTAAGCACCTCCGCCATCCAGCTAGCTCCTCTACTGTAAGTCAGATGGCAGCAGCTGTGGAAGGGCCCTGGCCCTCTGCTTTCTGGGCCTGCTCCCAACCTCATGACTCAGGAGCGGCCGCTGCTCCAGCAAGGAGCTATGAGGAGCCGGCCATGGTCACAGCCAGGGCCGTCTGCTTTAGGAGGACAAGCTACCTGTGGCATTCACCCAGAGATCCAGCTGTAATCGCAACTCCCAGAAACTCACGGCACGCTGTGAGTAATGAACGCGGGGCCCGTGGCAGCCTCTGCGGCCGAGACAGTGGACAGCGTTCACTCTAAAGCAATGCCCTTGCACCCACACAGTGTGACGTCCAGCACTGTTTTCTGCTCAGCTGCGAGGGAACCTCCC